TATTTCTATTGACATCAATTATTTAAACTCATGAATATTCACAGACAACCTCAATTTAGTATTCTTAATTCTATTTAGTAAATTAAAAAGTACAAGATAATGTGGAAGCTGTGGAGTTGTAGAAAAATTGCTTTGTGAGGTTGAGCTGCTGAACACTGGACATCGCATTTGTTCAGAACTGGTAAACAAAGTCCTGTATTTTCAACCCTTGGTTTCCATTGTTGACTTGGAGGGCAGCCCATTGATTGCTTGAACCCAAATTATGTTTCTGTAGCAAAATGTGGGCAGGCACACTCCACATTCAGAAATGAACTGGACAGGCGATTGAATTTCGCTTCAGCACTGGCAATGGAACCATGTCCTCTCCAGCACCTTGGAGGAGCAAAAGAGTCCGTGTGGAACATGCAGTTCTGTCTTCCACTTGCGAAGAATGTCTGGGAACTCTGCAGGAATGTCTGGGAAGCTGCCGATGCCACCACCCCACAACATCTGCTGCCTGAAGTGACTGTTGCCCCACTTGACCTAATCACAGGGCTGGCCCTGGCTGTGTGCCTGCCTCTGATGACATGCTCCTATCCTGCAGTGAAGCTGCTGCTACTACTTGGCCAGTGGAAAGCTGAATATTCCCCTTCTTTCCCATTTGGAGAATAAGCACATTAATCTTTTTCCTGTGTCAGTGTCTTACTGATCCCTCTAGCTCAGGATACTGCCTACCTATTTACTGGTAGCATCTCTCCAGGGTTTCCAACATGGATGTTATCCCTGGAGATACTGCAGACTGAGCCTGAGGACTTTTGGAGAGGATCTAACAATATCCCAGCACTAATACTAATGAAACTGTGCTAAAGCAAACCACAACTTGTGTCTGCTAGAGCAATGGAGAACGGTGCAGAATGCCAGGACAAAGTTGGAGCCTATTCACAGCATGGCAAGCATATGCTCTGTCTCTGAGTTCCAGCCTTTCCCCTGCCTTTCTACTAGTTCTGAGGAGATTCAGCATTGTTCTTTCCTTGGGATACTGAATCCCCCAAGAAAAGCTTTGAATCAGCCCTGGACTTCAACTGGCAGCCTGTGCACCTGGAAAAGGATTGACATAATATGTTCGCATAAAGCAGTCCCCATGAACAATCTTGCTGCCTGTTTTGGATCAGTTGAAGTCTCTGGGCCATTTTCAAAGATAGCTGCATATGCAGCATATTGCGTTAATCCAAATGAGATGTTACCAGGGCATGGATTACTGTTGCCAGGCTCTGTCTGTCCAGATAGGGTCATAGCTGGTATATCAGCTTAAGCTTGTGCCTCAAGTGACAGCTCTGGATCCAGGAACACCCTCAAACTACAAACCGTGTTCTTTGGGGGAGTGCAAGCCCATCCAGAACTAATTGAATACCACCCAACTGGTTAGACAAACCACCTCATCTTGTCTGGATTGAGTCTCGGTGGGTTGACCCTCAGCCATCCATTCCCATGCTCAGACACTGATTCAGAGCAGAAATGGCCTCACCTGGGTTGGATGAAAAGAGAGCTACAGCTGAGTGTTGTCTGCATATCGATGGCACCTCCGCCATATCTCCAGATAACCTCCCCAGTGATTTCATGTAGCTGTTAAACAGTCTATCTATCTATCTATCTATCTATCTATCTATCTATCTATCTATCTATCTATCTAAAGCTAGTGTATACCATCCAACTACCACAGTCTCAGGATGGTCTTACAATAAAAATAGAATAAAATGAAGCATTGCATCCAATGAATAAAACCTACATTAAAACCTAATCAAATTTAAAATAATGGGTAAATAAAAAGGTTTTAGCCTGGCGCCAAAAAGAATACAGAGTTGGCACCAGGCAAACCTCTCTGGGGAGTGCATTCCGGAGCCAGCATGCCACCACTGAGAAGGCCCTTCTCTAGGTAGCCACCCTTTTAATCCCCTTCTAGAAGGGCTCCTGTAGAAGGACTTCCACACCAGATCTTAGGGCAGGAAGGCATATAGGGAAGGAGATCCTCCCTCAGATATCCAGGTCCTGAGCCGTAGCCTAGGGGGTAAAATGGAACCCTGGGGTACCCTATGGCTTAATTGCCATGGTGCAGAACCATAAGCACCACTGTTGAAGGAGCAGCAGACTTCAGGCTTATAGGATCAACTTTTTTTTTAAACTAGGACCTTTAAGATCCAGCAGCTGAAGCATAGTGTCAAAGACCTACTCTTAGAATATACCCACATAATTCCCACATACAAATCTGCTTCTGGTTGCTTGCAAGCTTTCTTTATTTCAGCAGAATAATTTTCAGGTGGGAAGTGTGAGAGAAGAGTCATTTTATTGGTGCTATCATTCAGTGACTGAGACTCAGAAATACTTGCCAGTTAACACCAGATCACCCTGAGTTCAACCAGCAGATGCAGATTTACCTCCTGTTCACCGTGATCCATTGCAGTGGTTGATGGCTTTCTGTGCAGCATCAGATTAACATGGACAGTGTGTCCAGCTGCTGCCAGATACAATCTAATACATTGACCAATTCGCGCTGGTCATCTCATACTGCAAAGACCTTGAAGGCTCTTTATTTGACAAGAATCCCATAAATCCTACAGCTCTTTCAACAGAGCTGTGTGTGAGAGTTGGTGGTAAGTGTTGGAGGATAGCTGGTACAGGATGGGAGTACAACAAAGCAGTAGATAATAATCCTTAATTGCTTCATTTCGTCAGCTTGTGCGTGTCTGTTTGAATAGCATATGTCTATGGGCATATTTATTGAACAGTTAGCGCATCCAGGAAATAGGTTTGTAAATGTATATGGGACAAGCAATGTAGATTTATGGGTCTGTCTGCTGAAGTTTTAGATCTGTGCTTAATTTGTTTTGTGAGTCTGTTTGGTTCTTCCTGAGAGCTCTAAAAATGGTTGTCTCACATTTTACAATACACTGCCAAAGGAACCAAATATGATTTGTGCTTGAATTTATATTTCAGTGGGGAATTCAAGTTATGATGATTTCCTCCCATTGAAAACATCAGGTCCTCCCAAATATGTTCAACTGAAACACAGAACTGTCTTAACAGTCTTTTATACCCAAGACTTGTAAAGAATCGATATCGTTCCCATCAGAACAGTAAATTACTTACTGAACCACTTCCAGTAATCACGATGTACAATTTCATATTAACTCTTCCCCTTCTCCACTCAGGCGATTCTTGACGGTCTCTGCAAGCTTCCATCCCACCCACGCCACACACACAGAGGGGTAATGGGCTGAAAACCCAGTTAGATCGTTTACATGGCCAGGGTTAGGTTTAATCTTGCACTAATCGCTAAAGCAGGAGCCAGTGTCTTGCAGCAATTCAGGGAGTTGGACAGGGCAGTTCCAGCTCCAGTTCCCACTTGGCCATGCAACTCTCTGGGGCAACTTCAGCCAGTCACTGACTGTTAGCCAAACCTATTTGATAGAGTTGCTGTGAGGCTAAAGGGCAAAGAATTACGCAGGTGGACTTGGGTTCCCTGATGGAAGAAGCAGGATGTGTGTGTATCAGAGCAAATGAATAAGGAGGCACCTCAGCTAAAGTGCAGCTGGTTTCATGAGGCATGCATTAAGGGGCTTGATGCAAGATGCTAACTTCCAATGGAAGGACAGGGACAGGTCTTTTTGAGGCCACACAGGTCCCTGCGGCCAAGACCTACTACCTCTCTTAATGAATTTCCTGCAGCAAAGACAAAGACTGCAGAAGTGGTGGGAAAAGCCACTGGAAGATTGTATGAATGAGGCTAGGTGATAGCATTAGTCTGAGGATGAGTTCAGGGAGGAGAAGACCATCCATGTCTTTAGTCCTGATGGCTATATGCTAACGTACCGCCAGTTTGTTGTTATTTGCTGTCAAGTCTTCTCTGACTAATGGCAACCCTGTGGATGAAAGCCCTGCAAAATGTCCATGGTAACCTTATCCTCTTCTAAATTCAAGGCTGTGGCTTCCTTTATGTAATCAATCCATCTCTTATTTGCTCTTCCTTTTCTTCTTCCTTTGACTTTCCCCATTGTGATTGTCTTCTCCAGTAAGTTTTGCCCGGTCATGATGTTTCTGAGGTATGACAGCCTCAGTTTTGCCCTTTTTGCTTCTAGGGATCTGGCTTGATTTGATCTCAGACCTACTCATCTGTCCTTCTGCCAGTTCAGGGTTTTTGCAAAGCTCTCCTCCAGCTCCATGGTTTCCATAGAAGCTTCTGTATAGCTGAAGTGCCTGATCCTGCCTAATTTTGGAAACTAAGCAGGGTTGGGCCTGGTTGAAATCCGGATGGGTGTCTTAAATGTCGGGAATCATCCAGAGAGCTCCAGCTTCAGGCAGTATAGAAATGTAATGTGGTGGTGGTGGTGGTGGTGGTGTTTCTACCTCCAGTACCAGAGGCATTATGACTGTGCATACAAGTTGCCAGTGCGCTGGAGCCACTATGTGAGCAGAATGCTGCACTCCAATCTGGCATGGCTCTTATGTTTGCAGCTACACTGCTCAGAACCGCATGCTCTGATGGGCAGTATCTATACAGTGTCCCCTACAGATGATTTCCCTCACCTGCTCCCTGAACGTTTTAGCTTGAGATATGGAAGCTGAACCTGAACCCTCCTGCATGCAAAGCAAATGCTCTGCCACTGAGCTCAGGTGCCTTTCCTGTAACTCCCATTTCATGATAACATGCTTGCATTTTGTATCACAAATGACTGTGCTGCAGGCAACACGAGTTATCCTCTACCTCCCTTCTGGGGATGCATTAGTCGGATTCTGGACCTGAATCACCAGAGGGGAAGCTAATGAACTTGCTGAGGCAACACATGCTATTTAAGGTCTTTCTCCCCCTTCCACCCCATTGTGAATCAGATTGTTTCACTGGGGAGGATATTAGTGATGCAGGCAGGTTTTATCTGCTAGAATAAGGGCATTCACAGCATGTAGAATATATATTCATTAAATGGAAATCCTTGGGTAATTTCTCTCGCTCTCATTTTTGGATCCAGGCCGTGCGTTGCTCAGGCTTACCGACAAAAAGCTTGAGCGGATGGGGATTGCTCAGGAGAGCTTACGGCAGCACATTCTGCAGCAAGTCCTTCAGCTGAAAGTGAGGGAGGAAGTCCGAAACCTTCAGTTACTCACGCAAGGTAGGAAATGTACTGATAACAGGCCACAGGAAGGAGGGGGGAAAGGCGGTTTCATGTGAGCAGAGTTGACTTTGATATGCACCAGCATGAACTGTTGCACAAAGAGGCCTCATGAGGCCAGGACGCCTTCCCCTGTGGGGAACAAAAGGAAAATAACAAGACAAGAGCAATCTGCGTATTACGGGCTGCCTGTCTGTTGTGATGACAGCATTTTTCGCAAGTTTAGTGCTTCTCAAACACATACTAACTGATCTTCTTTGCTAAGAAAAAGCAGCAAGAATTCAATATTATCTTATGAACGCTGGATGCTGGCAATGTAAATGTTTTTGTGCAGCTGAGGGCAGAATTCAAACGATGGTCTTGACTCAGGGCTACTTCTGAAATTGGCTCTCCAGCACTGAATTTTCCTGCCTTCCAGACATGAATCTGTGAGTGAGTTCATGTGATACTCCAAGTCCAAGGTGGCCTAAAGGCACTGGAGGAGCTCAGCTGTTTTCTGCTAGGGAGTAGATTCAGCAGGGGTCCTCAGGCACTGTGTTCCTTCCTTCCCTGCTCAGTCCTCCAGCTGGTATCCCAGGGAACCTGGAGCACTGAGGAGCAAGATGACAACTTCTGAGCATGGGAACTCTCGGAAGCTGCCATCCATATAACATTAAAGTAATCAAATCTCCTGTGTTGGATGATGGTACCAAAGAGATATTAAAGCTGGTGCCAGAGAGGCCTCAGTGGGGAGCTTGTGAATGGGGGGGGGGTACCTCTGAAAAGGCTCTTCTCCTTGTTGCCACAAGCAACAATCAGGTAGTAATCAGAGAAAGCCTCAGCAATTAATTGCTGTGTCTGGGTAAATTGTACTTGGGAGAGGCATTCTGTCATGTATTGTGGTTCCAAGCCATGTAAGGCTTTATAGGTTAAAAACAGCACCTTGAACTGGGCTCAGGCATATTGGCAGGTAATACAAGCAGGGTGGGATTGGGGTTCTATGTTCGGATGGGTTGGTCCCTATTAATCTGGCTGCCACATTTTGCACAGACTGCAGCTTCTGAACAGTCTTCAAGGGCAGCCCCATAAAGAGTGCATTTCAGGAATCCAGTCTAGAGATTACTAGAGTGTAGATTACTGAAACTAGGCTATCCCTGTCCAGATAGGGACATCACTGGGCCACCACTGAAACTGGTGGAAGGCACTCCAGGCCACTAGAGCCACCTGAGCCTCAAGTGACAAAGATGGCGCACGGCGCACCCCCCATGTTGCAAGCCTGCTCCTTCAAGGAGAGTGCAGCCCCATGCAGAACAGGTTGCGTTCTCCTCATCTGGCCAGAAGAACCAGCCACTGACAGCAGCTCAGTCTCACCAGGGTGGCGCATCAGTCGGTTAGCCCTCATCCGTGTATCCACAGCCTCACCTGCTAGGGAAGGAAAGGAGAAATAGACCTGCATGTCATCAGCATGTTGCATTTAGATGTTAAGTAGCCTGGTGGGACAAGACTGGCCCATGAGGAGCCTCATGCTGGAAAGCCCAAGGAGCAAAGCTGTATTGAAAGGGACCTCAGCATTTTTGCTGCCAATGCCAAGCCCCTCACTGACTGATTCCTGGTACCCATGATGGGTTTCCTGGGTTTGGATGGCATGAGAACCTTCCATGGGTTCAACAATCCCTAGAGCAACCCATGGGTTGTCAGGTGGTTTGTTGCCCATGGACAAGCTGTCCTGTGTGATTCTGTCTGGGTTCACATGGTATGACAATCCATCATGAGAAACAACCCACAATGGGTCATTGTGTCATGCGAAGCCAGTCACTGAGTTCTGCCCTCCATGTAATAATATGAATATTACATTATGAGTATTATAGTCATGTTAAAATATTAGTATTTAACCTCTAAATTATACTATGATTGTATAGGTACATAAATGGTAAAACATATATGGGAGAAGGAAAAACAAAGGTGCAATATTTCATATTAACCTAATTTGAGAACTGGAGGTTTGCCAGCTCCTCTCAAAGAAAATTTTCTTACCCTCAATGGCCAGGCATTGTTCAATTTCAGATTATCTTCATTTGTAGGAATTGAGAAAAAATGCCCATGGAACACCTTTATGCTACGTAGCTGGTAAAGGCACAAGTGTGCATTTAAAACTGAAAAATGTGTCTGACATTCCTGGATCCCTTTTGCAAGAAGAATACCTGTAGATTTAGGTAACTGGAAACTTAACTTTATTATGTGTCTGTTGCTGAAAGTTGTTTCTAGGAGAGACAATGACCTTGGTAAGAAGCTGGTAAGACTTTTTAAAAAGCAGAAAGAAAATTGAGCCATCTAATCATTTATTTATGATATCCAATAGATTTGGGGTCTGTGGGACCTTGCACCCTTCAGAATAGATAGAACATAAAGAAACTCGCTGTCATGTTTGCCAAGCTCAATATAAGTTTGCACAGTATAATAGGTAAAGGATGGTCCAGATCATCAAATTTAATGCTGATACTTTCCTGGTGTATTTTCCTCTCAGGCCAGTGTTCAGTCTGTCAGTGACATTCTTAAGGGTCATCATCATTATCTTTTTGTTACCATTACTCCTATTTTGGATGACAATATTTGGTACCCTACGTGTCCAAGCAACGTGTCAGTTGTCAGATTCATCCCACTAATGGCGTCTAACACCTTGTCATCATACTGGTCAGGCTTTCAGTGCACTGCTGGTGTCCCATCTCTGTGCTATGTTCTTGCCACATAAAGTAGACCCACTCAGCTTCTGATGTACTGGGCCACATGCAAATGGCCATCCTCCTACTGGTTCATCATGTCTTATGCCTCTGAAGCCTTTTTGAGACTTCTTGGTTGACACTGGGATGTCTTCAGGCTGGTCCTCTAGCAGGTCACAATCTGTAGCTGATGATTTTATACATTAGAGCCAGTACTGTGAATTTGGCCTGGAAACAAATTGGAATTCGGAGTCACTGACGTAGGAGAGTAACCTGGTTGCAGCATTTTCCATGAACTACCATTTCAAATGCTCTTCAGGGGCAGCCCAGCATAGCTCGTGGGAAACAATTAAGGCATGGATCACTGTACCAAGATCTCTCCACTCCAGATCTGTCCTTTCCAAATAGGGAGCTCAACTCACCACCAGCCAAATTCAGGAAAAGTCACTGCCTACTACAGTGGTGACCTGGAGAAGCAATGACACAGAAGCAAAACCAGGGCCAGGAGCGCTCACAAGCTGCAAACCTGATTTTAAGAACATTTCCTTCACTGGCCTGATTTGCCTCTGCTCTTCCCAAAGGCAAACCTGGAGGACCTAGTTTGAAAATGTTAAGTCCAAGAAGCATTTGTATACTCTAGATTCTGTAGGTGCTGACTATCTGTTCACATTGTCTTCTCCTTCTTCTTGGAATTTCCTCTCCTCTCACCTTATTGCTGAAATATCAGTGTGAAATCCTTATCTCAATGCTTTAACATTAATGGCTTTGGTTCAGAATTCTCCTACAAAGTGGGAAGACTGGACTTTGGCACTGGTGTGATGGAATCAGAGCACAGAGGAACTCAGCACCAACATTCCTTTGTTAGGAAGGAGCATTCCCTGTTCCATTTGAACTGAGCATGAATCCTCAGAGCAGCAAGGGGAAGACATTTCCCCTCACCAGGAAAATGCATTGTTCCCTCTTGCAATGGAAAGTATTTTGGGGGTTTGTTGGATCTTGGAGGGTAATTAAAATCCCTTAGGTTGAACAAATGACCTGCTCCTGATGGAGATGAAACCCACTAGCACTGGCTTCTTAGTATTGATCAACATACCCGCTTCAAATGTTATATTCCTCTTGGGGCCATGCCTATGGGTTCTATTAATTTAAACACACCAGAGATTAGAGAAAGCAGGCTGGCTAAGTTCTTAGAATCAGGATCCCTTCCCCAAATTATTATCTTCAAATCCAATCCTAAATGATGAGTATATTTTGCCAGGGAGCATGATGACTTTTTCCTATCAATAGCCGAGGAGGACTGTGATGTAGAAAAATGAACCTGAAGTGACTGCTTCTTACTCTGATGGAAACACACAGTGACAAATTATGAGAATCCCTTTCAGGTAGTTAGCCTTCAGGGATCCCATTTGTAATATTACCCTGTTTAGTGAAGTTAATGCTATGCCAGTCAAGGGCAATTGCTCACAAGACTTAGATTGAGGTCAATAGTTCACCATAGTCCTACTGAACATTCTGGATATAACCCTGGGCTGACTAAGAGATATTGTAGACTTGTCAAGAAGGCCTCCCCAGTGGTTCAATTCTTCACTGTCTAAGCCAATTTAAATTGTGTTGTTGCTCATCTGAAGGACAACTGTGTGTCATCAGCAAGGTACTCAATGTGTCAACTCTTCAACTTTCCAGCATGCATTCTGTTCAATAGATAATACAGTGGATCTATGTGGCCAAAGCTGCTTAAACTCACAGAGACTGTTACTGTACTGCATCTGCCTATTAATCCTTGCTGCACATCAGAAATGTATAGTGTTTTGTAGTTTTATGCACTACAAAATGCACAGCACTATATCATTCGCTGTGAATGGGACTACACCATATTAATGAGACATATGCTTTTAGTTTGGATGAAGTATTTTTATCACTGCAATCTAACAGAGGAGCCCTAACAATGCAAATTTGGGTTAGTTTAGCAGAGGCATTTTTATTCATTAATTTTAACCATTAAAAAAAGAATTATGAATTTTCATGCTCCGTCTTTGTTCATGCTTTTTGCCTGTGTTAGTTTCAATAATGCACATGATCTTAATTTGACTAGAACTTTGATATACGTGCTAATCAGTTTGTTATAATATTGATACAGGTATTTTAAGGAATGAATTTGTAAGGAAGAAATCATCTATGCTATTCTAAAAATTGTATTTTATTTGCTTTTTATTTTTTGAAATAACACTAAATAATCACAATGTTGTATGTCTGCGTTTTCACTGCAGCCCCTGATGAAAGTGACTAGTATTTTGGAAATGTGTT